AGGTAAATGGGAAAAATCCCCATGTTAAAAAAATAATCTTATTTTCCTAAATTCAGAGGTATTTTAACATTGAATTTAAACAACACTGCATTGAATGAAAATAATGTTAAACAAAGCACATCAAGTCTCTCTCTTCATTGGTCCTATTATCAGTGACTACAAGTCACCTCCAAAGAGCCACAACATCAGCTATAACCCTTTTGAACATGAATAAAGAAACTATAAATTCCAATTCGGGTTACCGTATTTTCTTGAGTACAGTGCACACTTTTTTTCCAAAAAACACAGCTGTGTGGAAGGGGGTGCGCATTATACACGAATTATGAGTTTGGATGTTTTTTTCCCCCATGGAAAGACATTACCGTGAGCACGAAACACCGGAAATACCATGTCAACAAATCCATACTGAAGTACGCAAAATAATCATGTAATTACACTGTCTGGCTATAAAAAGTGTTATTTGTATATCTTGACTTATGTTTGTAACTTATTTCATTAATTTTATTCAAAATTCCTTTTAATATTGTTTTTATTAATTTCGGCGAAATCGTGTGTGAAGCAATCGGAAGATCGCACAACTCACCGTTATTAACAGCAACCACGTTCAGAATACCGCTATTGACGCCTTGAAATGAACTTTAGTTGACAGAGAATGGATACATATATCATAAATGACATACTTTGACTCGTTAAAAGTCATATTTGTTTTTGTTTGACGATTCTATGTCAACATGAAATTCTCGCGATCACGCGATCATGTGCGCGTGAGCCTTGACGGTAACTGGTCAGATTGGTTCCATGTAAAAAATAATACCCGGGAATAGCAATCAGCTGCTTCGCTTAGGGTTATTATTATTTTAAATATGTTTAGTAAAGGCTGCATATAATTAAGAAAATAATGGAATATATTATTCCTGATAAAAAAATAGTTTCAGATACAACTTTTGCCGATCCTAACATTAAAATACTGTAAAGTTATATCATTGGGTGTGTCTTGACCGAATCACCAGTCGATTCCAAGAAAATGTGTGTACAGCTGATTGCTGTTTCCGGCTTTGTTTACGAGACAATACACAAGGTAATCTTAATCCCTGGATATAAAACAATGCCTAGCAGAACAATAAATACTATTTAATCGGTAATAAAACATGTCTGGTGATTTTTTATCTCCAATTTCGAATTTGTACTGACGAAGTTTCTCATCACCCATTCGTTTGCCGGACTTCGCTGAAAGGGTACGGTGTAATTTTTTTCTGCGCATAATATTCAATTTTCTTTTTTTTCAAAATATTGAACCCGCTAGAGGGGGGTGCGCATTATACACGGGTGCGCACTATACTCAAGAAAATACAGTATTACCGACAATTGCTCAGACATGGGGAGGGGGGGGGTCGAATATTGGCCTCTGAGGAGGTCCAGATGAAGTCCTGCTGGAGTTCTACAATTTTAAAGAATGAGGTACTGGGAACCTATTCTGACCTTGAAATGAGTGACCTTCATGTTAAAGTAATGATGACTGATTATTATCAAGATAGGTGACAGAAATGTCAACACTGACCCACTGCCTAAGACTTGATAGTTAATATTGCATCCGTGAAAGAAACTATATTCACTATTCAAAACACAGCTTGCCTCAGATGCTTTGCCCTTTTATGTTCTAGTTATGTAATTAGTCAATATTCTATCAACATGGGAACAACAGCAGTATCAAGGAATCAATATTGATTTGTTGGAGTGAATTTTGACAGCAGGAAAGCCGACTTAGGCAAGAGTGACAAATAAAGTTGTTGTACAGCGTCAGCAATGTTCCATCCCTTGTATGACATTGGACAAGATGAACTGCAACTATTTAAAATCATTACAGCCTCATTACATTACCCCCACACAATATTCAAGTTCAAAATCTAAAAATCAGCAGTTTGGGAAACACATTGAGTACTTATTTCAAGATCATTCATTTGCCTGTGGCTGAAGATATTAATACAAATTGAATCTTAATACAAATTGAATCTAATGTCTAAAGATGTCATCAAGTTAGGTGACAGAAATGTCAACACTGACCCACTGCCTAAGACTTGATTTTTAATATGGCATCTGGTGAAAAAACTATATTCACTTTTCAAAACACAGCTTGCCTCAGATGCATAATTGTTTATTTTTTTAATTATTTTTTCATTTCATAGACTTACCCAGGACTCCAAACAAAGTGCCCTTTGAAAGGTAAATGGGAAAAATCCCCATGTTAAAAAAAAATATCTTATTTTCCTAAATTCAGAGGTATTTTAACATTGAATTTTAACAATGCTGCATTGAATGAAAATAATGTTAAACAAAGCACATCAAGTCTCTCTCTTCATTGGTCCTGTTATCAGTGAATACAAGTCAGCCCTAAAAAGCCACAACATCAGCTATAACCCTTTGAACACGAAAATAAAGAAACCATAAATTCCAATTTTGGTCATTACCAACATTTGCTCAGACATGAGGGTCGAATATTGGCCACTAAGGAGGTCCAGATGAAGTCCTGCTGGAGTTCTACAATTTTAAAGAATGAGGTACTGCAACCCATCCTGACCTTGAAATGAGTGACCTTCATGTTAAAGTAATGATGACTGATTATTTTCAAGTTAGGTGACAGAAATGTCAACACTGACCCACTGCCTAAGACTTGATAGTTAATATAGCATCTGTGAAAGAAACTATCTTCACTTTTCAAAACACATCTTGCCTCAGATGCTTTGCCCTTTTATGTTCTAGTTATGTAATTAGTCAATATTCTATCAACATGGGAACAGCAGCAGCATCAATGAATCAATATTGATTTGTTGGAGTGAATTTTGACAGCAGGAAAGCCGACTTAGGCAAGAGTGACAAATAAAGTTGTTGTACAGCATCAGCAATGTTCCATCCCTTGTATGACATTGGACAAGATGAACTGCAACTATTGAAACGGACATCAATAAAATCACTACAGCCTCAATTGCCTTGACTGCCACACAATATCGAAGTTCTATCATTTAAAGTCTGCAGTTAGGTAAAAACATTCAGCACTTGTATTAATATGACTAAGTGATATCCCAATCCATATTTTATACATTATATTTTAAGAACTTCATTCATTTGCATGTGGTTGAAGATATTAATACAAACTGAATCTAACATCTAAAGATGTCATCAAGTTAGGTGACAGAAATGTCAACACTGACCCACTGCCTAAGACTTGATAGTTAATATGGCATCTGTGAAAGAAACTATATTCACTTTTCAAAACACAGCTTGCCTCAGATGCTTTGAACTGTGCAAGTTCTAGTTACATTATTAGTGAGTATGATCTTGCGCCGCTTTTAGCAATATTCCAGCAATATCACAGCGAGGGACAGCAGAAATGGGCCTCACACATTGTACCCATAACGGGAATGAACCTGGGTCTTCGGCGTGACGAGCGAACGCTTTAACCACTAGGCTACCCGACCGCCCCTTATATTATTTGTCAATATTCTATCAACATGGGAACAACAGCAGTATCAAGGAATCAATATTGATTTGTTGGAGTGAATTTTGACAGCAGGAAAGCCGACTTAGGCAAGAGTGACAAATAAAGTTGTTGTACAGCATCAGCAATGTTCCATCCCTTGTATGACATTGGACAAGATGAACTGCAACTATTGAAACGGACATCAATAAAATCACTACAGCCTCAGTTGACTAATATATCTAAGTTCTATCATTTAAAGTCTGCAGTAAGTGGTTTCTGAATCTATTCTATATTTTAAGATCATCATTCATTTGCCTGTGGCTGAAGATATTAATACAAATTGAATCTAACGTCTAAAGATGTCATCAAGTTAGGTGACAGAAATGTCAACACTGACCCACTGCCTAAGACTTGGTAGTTAATATGGCATCTGGTGAAAAAACTATATTCACTATTCAAAACACAGCTTGCCTCAGATGCTATGAACTGTTTATTTTCTCTTTGCAGAAACCATCAGAAACTGTATTAATACACCGTTACCATGGCTACCAGTGTTAGACATTTAAGGGGAGTTTCCTGCTACAATGTTTGAATATAGAGACCCCCTGAATCTTTTGTCTTTAACATAAGGTTCATGATGAGAATCCCCATCTTCTCCAGGGTTATTTGGAGTGAGTGAGTGAGTTGTAATTAGGGCTTGGATGATACATCAACTATGGGATCGAATAAGTATCATGACACGTTCATAATCTGATACGTATCACGATACCTTGCTCACAATCTGATACGTATCATCATACCTTGCTCAAAATCTGATACGTATCATCATACCTTGCTCACAATATGATACATATCACGATACCTTGCTCACAATATGATACATATCACGATACCTTGCTCAAAATCTGATACGTGTCACGATACCTTGCTCAAAATCTGACACATATCACGATACCGTGCTCAAAATCTGATAGTATCATGATACCTTGCTCAAAATCTGATAGTATCATGATACCTTGCTCAAAATCTGATAGTATCACGATACCTTGCTCACAATCTGATATATATCACATTACCTTGCTCACAATATGATACGTATCATAATACTTGCATGTGCTCGCATCTGTGGTGTATAAGCCATCTTTTTCATAGACAGGATGGCCAAATACCTGGCACACTGACGATTTACAGTTGGCAGTGTCATGTATGGCACAATGGATGAAAATATTTATGTTTTCACAACTCCTTTTCACTAGCAATTAGCGTTTGGTGTAGCATTTATTAAAGAATACATTTGAGGTAAGAATCAATATTTTTTATTTCGTATTCGATTGTGATTGATATTTGTATCGAGAAGTAATAAATCCCGATCCATCGCTGCATCGTCCCACTACTAGGGGTAATGTTACACTGAGAGTCACCAGGACCAGCAAATACACACACCAAGGCAAATTCCTGCATACCTGATGCCATATCCATGGTATACACAACATGGATGAGCTCCCAAAGGGAGATAACTGCTTACCTGAGCTACAGCTTTGGCTCGTAATCGATCTGTAAGTGCATGTATTACGTTGGCATTGAGGTTGCCGCTTGCATCTACGTCACCGATTATCACAGGAAATGCCTGAAACACAGATCATAAATAACACTACGATGTACAGTAACGAGTATTGGGTTCGATGTGATGTCAGCACCATTGCAGCCTTCAGAAGTCACGATTTCTACCAACCCAAACTAAATTGGGCCGAGGACAAGCAAAACTCCAATAAAGATCGTCCCCATTGACAAGTAGCATTTGAGGGTCATAATTCGGAACCCATTCCCAATGTTTTAATTTTGCTACAAACTGAAACTGATTAAACTGACAGAAAATGCAAACAAACATTTTTGTCTCATTCAAGTGAGTGATGGAGTATGGTTTTACGCCGCTTTTAGCAATATTCCAGCAATATTACGGCGGGGGACACCATAAATGGGCTTCACACATTGTACCCATGTCGAGATTGTCTCATTCAAGCAGGACTTGCAACAAACTGATGACTCTTGAAGTAATGGTAACACTAGTTCAAGACTTTTCTTTAAAAAAAAGGAATTTCCAAGGCGTCATAGTTACAAAACTTTATAAATCCCCTCAAATTCCTCAAAATGAACGAATAGAATTGTAAAAAACCAGAACCAAACACAAGACTGAGGAAATAAATGGAATGGAACTGCAAAAGCTAAGGTGGTAATCCATACTACTAAAAAAAAAAAAGTAAGGACCACTCAGTTCTTTCATATATATTACCTTGGTTAATCTGGCATGACAGATTAACTAAAGTAGTTTGAAGGTATTGGGTTGGTTGGTTGGTTGGTTTGTTGTTTAACGCCGCACTCAGCAATATTCCTGCTATATGACAGCGGCCTGTAAATAATCGAGTCTGGACCAGACAATCCAGTGATTAATATCATTAGCATCGATCCACGCAATTGGGATAGATGACATGCATCAACCAAGTCCGCGAGCCTGACCACCCGATCCCGTTAGTCGCCTCTATGGGGTGATCAACACTTTAGCTGCCTCTTACAACAATCAGTCGGCTTTTACGGCAAACATGGGTTGTTGAAAACCTAATCTACCCTGGATCTACACAGGTTTCTTTGTTTCATCCCCAGAACAACACCAGACCACCATTTATTGCATTTTACAGGTCCAGGACCAGCAGACAAGTGTTCGTGTTCAACTCTTATAAGTGGTACCCCTATCTGTATCTGTACATCAGCAGTAAAAACTAACTATTTAGTCCACAGGTCCTTATAATGACAACATATAGCAAAACCCTTAAAAATGGCAAATTTCTACTGGAACCAATGATACTTTAACTGTTGGGCAGTTTGGCAAGGACTACAGGACTAGTGCCATTTTCAAACACTGTACATCACATGTATTATGATATTTTAAAAATTATAAATGTATTAATTATAGTAATGAAAAAAGTTGTCATCAAGTTAGGTGACAGAAATGTCAACACTGACCCACTGCCTAAGACTTGACACTTAATATAGCATCTGTGAAAGAAACTATATTCACTATTCAAAACACAGCTTGCCTCAGATGCACAATTGTTTTGTTTCTTATTCATATTTTTTCATTTCAGGGATTTACCCAGGATTCCAAACTAAGTGCACTTTGGCAGGTAAAAATCCTATAACTGTTGAACAAAAATTTATATTTTCCTAAATTCAGAGGTATTTTAACATTGAATTTAAACAACACTGCATTGAATGAAAATAATGTTAAACAAAGCACATCAAGTCTCTCTCTTCATTGGTCCTGTTATCAGTGAATACAAGTCACCTTCAAAAACCCACAACATCAGCTATAACCCTATGAACTTGAATAGAAGTACAAATTCCAATTTGGGTCATTACCAACATTTGCTCAGATATGGGGAGGGGGGAGGAGGAGGTCGAATTTTGGCCTCTGAGGAGGTCCAGGTGAAGTCCTGCTGGAGTTCTGCTGGAGTTCTACAATTTTAAAGAATGAGGTACTGCAACCTATTCTGACCTTGAAATGAGTGACCTTCATGTTAACACTGATTATTATCAAGTTAGGTGACAGAAATGTCAACACTGACCCACTGCCTAAGACTTGATAGTTAATATTGCATCCGTGAAAGAAACTATATTCACTATTCAAAACACAGCTTGCCTCAGATGCTTAAGCCTGTTTATTTTCTCAGTACTGATGATGTGCAAAGACGTATTTGTAGATAGTGTTTCATTGATGTAATAGGCAGACACTGAGAAGTCCAATGTACATACATGTATGATTAGGGTTAAAGATGAGGTACTTGGGCATGAAGTGGTCATAAAATGTATGGTTATCTGAACACATTTACCCAAGGCTTTTTCAACACTTTGTGACTAATCCAGATCTTGCAATTTGTTTATTTACATACATAAAATATAAATTTATTAAAACTAAAAATATGAAAAAGGCTTTGCTTCTATTAGACTGATCCAGCCTCCAGTTTAGTGTGAGTACGTATCTGATGGTTCTGATCCATCCGATCCCCTTTGTCGCCTCTTATGGGCATCTTCCCGAGGCAAGAGAGTTAACCGACTTTAAAAGTCCAGTTTCCACCCGTGCCAAACTAGGCTGGAATTCCTGGACTCGATCGTAGCGCCACCAGTGGCTATTACGAGTAATGTCCTTTCTATGCCTCTCCTATTGACCAATCAGATTCAACCTCTCGTATCACTAGCATTTGCTTCAAACAAAACGGTGGCGCCCAGTCAAGAGGATCTGACCGATAATCAAGATCTACATTGTGATCAAACGAGTCTTACATCGCGAAGTGCATCAAATCATGTGAGCACCTTGATTAAAAACATGAAAAGATATAGAAAATATTTGTTGACAATGAGTTAGCGGTGCACATGCTTTGCAAATCCTGCAGTCGACCGAACTATGCATGACACTTTACGAACCGGATTTCGATTTCGGTGTGCGATTTTGATTGGACTATGCATAGACTCGTTAGTCCAGCCAAAATGTAACTCCATAATACCAGCCTAGTTCGGCAAGGGTGGAAACTGGACTTTTATAGTCAGTTAACTCACTTGCCTCGGGAAGATGCTCACGGGAAGTATGATTGAGATGATGAAGACCTATTCTCTACCTGGATCTTCACAGGTCAAACACTCAAAGTACCGACAACACAATACTGAATGTTACATGTATTTTGTGAGCGCCACATATTTTAAAGTGAGTGGTCCCTTTGTCCGGCCTCAACATAAACCCAGGTTGTCAGTATTCTTGACTTGCCTCTGCAGGACCTAGCTGCTTTGTTCCGACATATGTGCATCCAAATCTGTAAGCCGAGGGCTGGAACGTGGAGAGGGAGAGGGTGTGGCTTATTTGGAAATGGCTGCTCAGACCCTTCGAGATGATGAGCTTCCCACCTTCAAAGATTTGGGGAAACAGATCTGAAAATGGAAAAATGCAAAAACTTCAGATGTTTGCAGGAACTTCCAAAAACAGAACAGGCTTGTTTACATGTTGTTACTCGGGATCTTACCATGACCTACAAAACAATCAATTTCAAGGCTCCTCACAGGCAGAGTACCAGTTTTTGAATTTTTTCAATTAGGCTTGGACCGGCAATTCATGTGACTGCCAGTCCTTGTGGACCGGCAAATAAAGTACCTTATAAATCTTTGTTGTTTAACAAACATCGGTGATATGCATATAAGTACATTTTTCGAACAAAGTCAGCTTGTTTGTTACCTTCAGGGTTTCCCCATGTCTATTTCTAGGTTAAATATCCATTTGTAGCGACTGTCTCGAAATATCAAAAAAAGGAGAGAAGTTTGAAGACTGAAGTTTGCATGAACACTTACCCAGTCTCAGGACTGTACAAGTAAAAGAGGAACAGTAACTGGGAATGCATGAGGCAATCCTGTTTCACAATGACCTCAAAGATGACCTTGACCCTATATGAAATGAATGAGTGAGTGAGTTGGGTTTAACACCGCTTTTAACAGTATTCCAGTTATATCACGGCGTGACAGCTTAATGTGGGAGAAAAGCCTGAAGTGATGCAGGTCTCAGACGTTTACAACTTCGGTGAAACCCACGAGCACAGGTATGGTGCTGACAAACCTAGAAACATAATTGGGGCGAACCAGGATTCAAACCCACAATCATAGGTTTCTGGCGTGCCCAAGGGACGCAACTCTGCACAGCGAATCGCGGCGCCTTACCCGACTGGGCCACCCGTGCCCCCCTGGAATGTATGACGCAATTCTGTTTCACAATAACCTCAAAGATGACCTTGATGCTATATACATAAGTCAAACATTTTATGTGGTGGAATTTGTACGGATACATGCAACTATGAAGTTTCATGCATACAGAGGTAATATTGCCACAGAAACTTAAAATGACGTTTTGCAAAACCAAAAACGCTTTTTCAAAAGTGGACAGCATACCTAGAGAAAGTACATTCCAAGTTCAGTGTCATAATTACATGCATTAACTCTTTTGGAGAAATTGTAACTACAAACGGTTTTTTTCAGTTTTTCAATTTCATGACCTTTGACCAGTTGGCCTTTTCATCATCGTGCCAAAGGAATTCCCCAGGTCCATATGGAAGAAGTCCATGGAAGAAAAATCTTTAATCACGATCTTGTGTAGTCGACATTAGAACATTCACCACTGGCACAACAGTCAAATTCCAACAAAACTTAACATGCTAAAGTAGTCCTGTGTCACAGCTTGTACTTGTCGACACTAGAACAGACTAATCCCGGTTTTAATATCTCATAGTGCCTGCCCACTAAATTGCCATGCCGCAGTTTAACATGGATACTGCACTCACAGAATAGTGACTCCAAGCCGATGCAGAGCACCAGAAATGGTAAACACAAGTACCATCTTTTAACATATGTGGCCAGTGGATCAAACTGTCAAGGCAAAAGCTCTATCCACTAGAACACGGAGGCCACTGTCAAACCAATGTACCACAAACAAGGCATATCCCTGAGACTACCATCTTTTGATCTACGTGACATTTTGAAAATGAAAGGGTATTTTTCTGTATACAGAAATGTACCCTCGCCAAAATCGGAATACAGAAAGGTACTCGATACCCTAAATGGCAGAAGAGTTCATATTCCTCAACCCGAAACCCAGTTCATGTTGTAGTTCTGATTCGCCTGATGACGAGTGCAAACTGGATAATGCTGTGCATTGTGGAATATTCAAATATTTACATACGTAAATGTGTTTCCTCAGATTTTTTTACATAGTATCCTCGGACCCGGTGTATCGCGGCATTCATGATTTCCGGTGGTTCACGCGGGACAGCCTCTTAGCGGCTGTCTATTAATGCAAATCAATAACCAGGAAACGCTAACTTCTTACACAATTTCAATTTCCTCGGAATGTTCTGTCTGCTGTAAGTAAGGAGTTATAAATGTGTTGATACTTACTTCTGGCATCTTTTGTAATATTGCCTTACCCCCATCTATCAATGGCCAACGATATAACCCGCAGTTCCCCAAGTAAACTTTCTCTATCGACCTGAACTAGATCATCTGCATATTCATGGCGACTAATAAGGTATCGGAAGTTACGTAGTCCGCACGTTTCCCCGCTCTGTGCCCGGAAGCTATGCGAGATGATAAGGGCCATAAAGCCAAACTTAGAATCACGTTCTTCACTAGTAGCCAAACGATAAATACATACTTTGGGCATACTAGGAGTGCTTTTTATATATTTATTGTTGATTTTTAACTCTTGTGACAAATTATTGTCAATCAATTTTTTTTTAAAACAATCTTAGAATATCATTTCTGATATTTTCTTGGTGATTTTTAAAATATTTTTCTCTTACTTTTCGGTAAATATGCATTGAATACCTATTACTGATAACACAATTAGAATTTGACTTGTGCTGTCTTTGCACTTGTCTGGACAAATCACTGATGTCTAGCACGATCATACCAAGTGGTTGGTAGAATTATGTCCTCTTTTTGTCCAATTCGAACCTCCATACACAACTTTTCTCTGTTCCGCGATACGATGGAGTTCTCTCCCTTGTCAAACAAGGGCGTGAGGCCCGGCTTTTACTCGGAGCTGTACTAATGTAAATAATGAACTTTTATCAGTAAAATATGCATTGTTAGATAAAATATATGACTCATCTGATATAGAGAACACGAATAATCATAAAGTTTAGTGAGTGCATTTTGTTCCGTTTAGCGTACATGATAAGTACCGCGCTACCCCGAGGTTGCAGGCTACCTGTGCCAACAACGTCCCCTTCAGCCATATTGTATCAATGTTAAAAATATGGAGGGACACAGCTAAATTCTTCAATTCCTATCATTTCTTATGGCACTGTTGATGAGTGGGACCATTTTCGGTAGTGAAGTTTGGGGCCGTTAAGCAAGCACCATCTAATCTAAAACTATCCGAAAACATTTAGGCTATGATTCAGCATGTTTTTGAGATTTGAGATATGACCCACATGAAAAAAACGCCACAAAATATGAACATGTCAGTGGTCCATAATTCAATATGTTGACTGGATGGAACAATTTTAAAACAAAAGTAGTTTTGAGTCAAATATTAGTTGCAAAACGTTCAAAATTATGAAGGCAGTATCAGAACAAATACATTGACGCGAGGTCAGAGTGATCTCCCTTGACTTGCACACGTGCATGTAGAAATCGCGAAAGAATACCTCCTAAACCTTTCAGAGATAGAATGCTGACATCTAACTGTTATACATTCACTACCTTTACACTTTTTATGTAAATCTTCAAATGTCCCTGGGCCGTTGTCACCCCCTAAAGGCGCTGATACCGGCTCCGAAGTTGCAGGAGACGAAGTCGAAGGTTGTTCGGGTGCCGGTGGTGGGGGCACAATGTCGGGAGATGGCACATTCACAGCCGCAGCTGGTCGCGGACCAGCCGCCAATACACTACCCATTCCTGATCAGCTGATAATTAACCGCTAAGTTCATTAAATTGGTTTCATGAAGCACGAATGATGCTGATGAAAGTGTAACTCGCCATGAGATACAATCTTAACACATCGCCATGTGCGTGACTGTCGGTTTCTGTGATTGGTCAGAGATTGTCACATGGTAACTAACGCAGGCGCACATTGGTAGATGTCGAGTTTCTGCTTCCGAGGTCATTTACGGGATTGAAGGTCATTCATAACTGGTTCAATGTCCCATTCATTATATAATATGAATGGATGGGCGAATTTATCATAGAATGGACACATGATATCTCTGTAAGGAAGAAATCGATAGATTATGAATAAAGACACAAAACGTCACTCAAATGACGAGTGATTTATGTCCACATGCTTGTAAAGATCAGAGACCATATACTATTATATGGTCTCTGTAAAGATTATAGAACTATATTTTATTAAATATTTCATATCAGTGCAAATTTTGATTTGGACATATTAATTTAGATGTTTAAATGACGATACGACAAAGTTTGACGTTGCACTCACAAATTTATCACAATTCAAATGGTATCTGTTCAACACCGTTACACAGCGAGGGGGGGGGGGGGGGGAGGGGGGGTCATCCGAGATGAGTGAGTGAGTTTTTTAACGCCGCCTTGAACAGTGTTTCAGTCATGGAGCAGCCAATTGATTTGTGTATGTGGGAGGTGGGGTATGGTGGGGGTTGGGAGACGAGAACAATATTTATTTTACCAGCTGTATCCAACAATTATATTTAAACTATTTATTAACTGAGCAAAATCAAACAATCTATTCATTTTCACTATTTTCACACCCCTAAAAAGGGTGATACACATCCTAACGTTCATATTATATCACGTATTGGCGATATTTGTTAACTAGATGCACTCGGGAGAAAAACAGCTTCAAATATCAAGAATACTAATACATTAGTTTCTTTTGGTTATGGTTTTGTTTGGGAATCTCAAGGTGTTGGTGAGACTGAATGGTTCTTCAATGAATTTATCTATTGGGTTAAAGATTGTCACACACAAACATGGTATTCCGAGGTGTCGAGTTACTCAAAACTAGAATCATATTCACTGTCGTTCGATCACATTAGATTGATTGACCGATTGAGTATGGTTATACGCCGCTTTTAGCAATGTTCCAGCAATATCACGCCGGGGACACCCGAAATGGGCTTCACACATTGTAGCACACATCGAACACGGGCCTTCGGTGTGTCGAGCGAACGCTTTAACCACTTGGCTACCTTAGCGCCCCCGTTGACATCAGATGGTTGTTGGATGGTTGTGTAACGCCGCACTCAGCAATATTCCAGCTGTATGACGGCGGTCTGTAAATAACCGAGTCTGGACCAGACAATCAACTGATTAATATCATGAGCATCGATCCACGCAATTAGGATCGATGACATGCATCAACCAAGTCAGCGAGCCTGACCACCCGATCCCGTTAGTCGCTTTTTACACAAGCATAGTCGCCTTTTACGGCAAGCATGGGTTGCTGAAGACCTATTCTACCCTGGAATCTTCACGGGTCCTACGCAATTGGGATCGATGACATGCATCAACCAAGTCAGCGAGCCTGACCACCCGATCCCGTTAGTCGCCTCTTACGACAAATATAGTCGCCTTTTACAGCAAGCATGAGTTGCTGAAGACCTATTCTACCCCGGATCTTCATGGGTCCGTTGGCATTAGAGCTTTTTTTGCTATGTGTATTATCAAAAGAAAATAGACGTAGGCTAACTTGAACTGAGAATTATGAATAATACAGGGAGGAGAAAGGGAATCGATAAGACACTTCGGCTTTGTCGATAATCTAACTTACATGTATAATTGAAAATAAAAATGATTGTATTGATAAGCCCCGCACATGTTAATATTCGTTCAAAAAAAATTCCCAATTTTTTAATGTCCCTACTTAAGCAACTCTGGTAAGTTTGATAGCAATAGCGCAGTCCTCCGATGTAAGCGTTCTTAAACACTTAGCAAATTACATTTAAGATGTCATCGATCTCCGATGTTCACAACTGTAAAATGTTGCTATTGAACTCGTGTTTAAATTACCTTGTGCATTAATTGTACGTGGGCCTGAGGCCTTCATACTGAAATCAATGATTGAATATTGGTTATGGAAAAACAATAAAGGCGAATCTGGGATTCCAACCCGAAACTTTGAAAGTGTCTGGCACACCTAATGGACAGAACTCTGCACAGCGTTGTTGTTGTTGTTGTTGTTGTTGTTGTTTGTTTTGTTGTTTAACGCCGCACTCAGCAATATTCCAGCTATATGACGGCGGTCTGTAAATAACCGAGTCTGGACCAGACAGTCCAGTGATTAATATCATGAGCATCGATCCACGCAATTGGGATCGATGACATGCATCAACCAAGTCAGCGAGCCTGACCACCCGATCCCGTTAGTCGCCTCTTACGACAAGCATAGTCACCTTTTACGGCAAGCATGGGTTCCTGAAGACCTATTCTACCCCGGATCTTCACGGGTCTCCACACAGCGAACTGCGCTGCCTTAGATTACTGGGCCACCAGTGACCCCATCTCCAAGATGAACCTAATTGACACGACCGTTATACTTTTAAAAAAACCACCGGTATTGCTAATACTTATAAGTAACGTAAATATAAGCGACAAAACTCTTTTCTTATTCATAAAAAATACCTCTGTCAGAAATAGAGTCGAGTGTACGATTCCGTCTACACCATGAGCATGTGTTTATGAATCAATATCAAATGAAATCCTGAAATCAACAAGCCCCATACTAGAATTGACGATCTTGACACAAAACTCTCCCCAGACAGCATCATTAACCTAGCCGCCAGCTGCTTTGACACCTCGTATTTAACTATCAACGACAAGGTTACAAACAAATCCACGGACTGCCTTTGGGTTCCCCTCTCACTCCACTCATCATTGAAATCTCCATGACATCCTTCGAAGAATCAGCCCTCTCTACAGCACCATTCCAACCCTTCTACTGGAACCGGAAAGTAGACGACACATTCACCACCAAAACGACCACACAGAGCTCCCAAAACATATCAACGCCCAATCCAGTTCACCATGGAGGCCGAAACTAATAAACACCTTCCCTTCCTAGACGTGTTCCTCCAAACCACAGATGGTGGACACGGACCAGTGCATTACAACTCCTGCCACCATCCCCAGATAAAACAAGCCACCATCGTCATCCTCACTCGACGTGCCAAATCCATTTGCCACCCTGATGCCCTCATTAGTGAACTGGACCATATCAAGAAAACCTTCACTTCTTTCAACAGTTACCCAGCCCTCCTTGTCTCCAAAACCATCCGCAAGACCCTCAAGAACTCCGATGCCAGATCCAAACCCGCCCCGTCGCTCACCAGAATCACCATACCCTACCAAGGCCCTGTCACTCATCAGATCTCCCGCCTCATCAAATCACTTTTACGACCATCAAAACCCATCTACGAGCCAATGACACAGGCACCAGCATCGCAAGTCCCAAACCCAAAAGGATCCCCTGCAACTGTGGACCGCCTCCGTGGTCTAGTGGTAGAGCGTCCGCCCGGAGAGCGGAAGGTCCGGGGTTTTATCTCCGGCCGCGTCATACCAAAAGACGTTAAAAGATGGTACTTGTTGTTACCCTGTCTGGCGCTCGGCATTAAGGCACTAAAACAAGGACTGGTCGCATTGGAGTCAGTATACTGTGTCTGAGTGGATGTTAAACTGCGGCATGGTATCTCAGTGAGCTAGCACTATAAATCGCCATCAGTCCGGACTAGTACAAGCAGCCACACACACACGTGCATGCACGTCGCCTTGTAAGTGCAATAACCTTGGACGCGACGTTGAACCCCATTTCACCTCACCCCACCTCTTCCCCACAATAGTGATGATATCAGGTATTCGCCAGGATGGGAAATTTTGGTTTGATATCAACATTATATTTCTTAATGTTTAGGAGCTCATTATTTGTTTCAATATAAACAGGTGCTCAATTATTTGATATTAATAATAACTTTTTAAAAATCGAACTGTAATCTTTAAACAGTCGGGCTTATTTTTCCTCGGCAAGTTCCTCCCATCTCTGGTGAACTGGTTCACCACCTTCAGCTTGCAGGCGTGGTCGGAGATCGCTGTAGGATGCTCGTTGCCATGTTGCTTCATACTTGTCCTGTCTTGTCTTTGGTGATTGAGTTGCCAGAGCCGAGTCATCTGCGAGTAGCAGGGTACTTCTCGGCGATCTGTAAATAATCGAGTCCGGACCAGACAATCCAGTGATTGACATCATGAGCATCGATCCTTGCAGTTGGGATACAATGACATGCATCAACGAAGTCAGCGTGCCTGACCACCTGATCCTGTTAGTCGCCTCTAACGACACATCAAACTGGCACACCGTGGTATATAATTGAAATACTGTTCGTTTGTTTGCTGTTCAAAGCCGCACCCAGCAATATTCCATCTAAACTACCGGGCAAAAGAAAGTTTTCACCGACTTAACTTGACCAAACACCAAAAACAAAAGGCATATGTGAGATTAATGATGATTAATTTATAAACAGAAATCATTTCAATACGTTGACGTTAACGTTGTTCAGGTAGTCTTGAACAATTCGGGCGGTGTGAGGCCTTGCGTTGTCTGGTTGCAAAATTAATCCTCTTGCCTGATGTTGAATAAAGGGCACCACAACAGGTCTCAACACTTTCCTCGGATGATAACCAGCCGTGTTGTAATCTGGCCACAAACGCCACCCCATACCATGACGCCTCCACCTCAAAACGGGTGAACTTCTCTAATGCAGTTTGGCGCCAGTCGCTCTCCCCTTCGTCGAAAAACTCGAACTCTGCCATCGTTCCTGAACAGACAGAACCGACTTTCATCTGTAAAGAGCACTCTCGCCCAGTCACGTCGCTGCCACCGACGTACAGTTCGTGCCCATTGCAGTCTGCGTTGACGGTGTAGAAGGGTCAAGGCCATTCCACGGAAGGGTCGGTTGGCTCGTATACCAGCCGTACGAAGTCGTCGAAGGACTGTTCGTCTGCTGATGGCATGTCCTTGTGCTGTTGCCGCCGTTGACGTCGCCGTCACACATCTGT